GAGTTGGAAGGGATCCCCAAGGGCCATCCAGTCCAACCCTCTTCTGCCTCGCAGGAATACATAGATACCCCAAGAGGTCATCCAACCTCATTCTGCCATGCAGGAACACACAATCCAAGCGCTCCCTTTGACAGATGGCCATCCAGCCTCTGTTTAAAAACCACCAAAGAAGAAGACTCCATCACTCTCTGAGAGAGTGTGTTCTGGCTCCTACATCAGGGGGACAAGGAGTCCGCTCTGGATTTTAGTCCAACCTTCGAAGGAGCAATCCAGAGTGCTGAGCCCTCTCCCTCAACTCGCTTCAGCGCCTTGTCTGACTCCTCTAAAGGTCCAACCCTAATCACCAGCATCCACTCCATCTCCATCCCTGCCCGGCCATGGAAACCCTTGGGCAAGCCACACTCTCTCAGCCTCAGAGGAAAGCAAAGGCGAACCTCCTCTGAACAAATCTTGCCAGGAGAACCCCTTAGGGTCACCATACTTCGGAAAGGACTTGATGGCACACAACAACAACAACAACAACAACAGCAACAAGCCAAAGGGTGCTGGGATTGGTAGCTTTGCAAGGTCTTGAACCTTCTCTGCCAAAGCATGCTGGTGCCTCACCAAACTATAAATCCCAGGACAGGGTAGGATGGAGCTCTGGTACTTTCCAGTGGTGTCAAACTGCATCTACAGTGTAGACATCATGCAGTTTGACACCCCTTTAAAGTTCCAGAGCTCCACCCTAGGGAATCTTGGGATTGGGAGTTTTGCAAGAGTCTTTCTGCGCAAGGGATGCCGGTGCCTCGTCAAACTACAAATCCCAGGGTTGGGTAAGAGGGAACCCTGGCCGTGAAAGTGGGGTGAAGCGGCATGATGTCGACACTGGAGATGGAGTTTGATGCCACCTTAAACTGCCAGGGCTCCCTCCTACCCAGTCCTGGGATCTATAGTACGTAGAGAGATCTTCTCGCCCCTTTGCGACTGACTGAAAGAAAAAAAGTGAGCAGCAGGAGCTTTCCTAGGCTTCAGTCTACTTTTCCGAATGCATCTGAGGAAGTTGACTGAAGTCTAGGGAAGCTCCTGCTGCCCACTTCTTTCTTTCTTTCTTTCTTTCTTTCTTTC